TTGGCAAAAGAGGGATAAGTAGAAGACTGTGATTCATTATAGCTCTCGTTAAGATGACACTTCAAATATTGTACCACTATTTTTTTTTAATCTATATATGTTGACATATATAAATAATTTGGTGACTGTACACATTTGTTTGCTATTATCGGAGATTTGAAAAAAAATTTAATTTCATTCAATATGATAAAACATTCTTTTAGCTATTATTGTGCATATAAATTATTGACATTATATTTTTGCGTCGATTGTAGACAAATAAAGATGCCACACAATAAATAGTTGTATTAGAAGCGGCCTTCTTCTGTTAGTTGTATTCTTTTTTTTCTTTTAACTAAACAATCAACATGGTAAAAGAAGTAACAATGGTAAAAGCAACATACAACAGACACTCAAGATGACAACATTTAATATTTGCAACAAGTAAATCAAAGATGAATGCTAACGACAACGCATTGCTCTTTTGTCCTTATAGTGAATGAAAGGATAAGTGAGTAAGCGTTTGTTGAATGTGTATGTCTTCTTTTTCTTTACTAAACAAACATGTTGTTTTCGAACTACTCGATCATGCAATAACAAAACTGACAAGAATAATCAAGGCAGAAAGAAAACTATTGAGATGTGTTTGTTTCTAAATCTACTATAAAAATTTTATGAAGAACGTCATCTATAAAAAAAAGTCATCAATTGTTTATTATATATACTAGTTTTTTTTTATTTTTCATGTTAAATTATCAAAAGATATATTTCTTTCTTTGTTTTTGGAATTCATTAAATGAAATAAAATAACTTTCAAAATCAAACATGATATTTTATTCAAAGTTAATTATAACGTCCGTTGAATATGAATATTATTCTTTTATTTATAACGATTCACTTTTATAAAAATATTGTACTTCATCAATATTTATCATTCACTAATAAATATATACATATATATATATATATATAGATCTTTGCTTAACCTACATTTTGTTCGTATTATACCAATATTGTAAAATACCTCTTTAATTGTCAAGTGTTTTCTTTTTTGTTTTGATATTCAACATTCTCATGATAATCATCTTTTATTCAGTTTTTTTTATTTTGAATGAAATATCAATTGTGAATAAGAGAAATACTTCAGATCGAATATATTCACTATTGGTGATCATTAACAAATTCATCATCAATTTTCGAGATTCTATGAAGTTTCTCTCAATATATAATGTAATTCCTAGTTAATTTTTTTCAATAGTTTATTTTAAAAGAAAATGTATTTCATGTTTAATAACATAAATTTTTTTGATTAATTGGGCTGTAAAATAGGTGTATAAAGTACTCGACCAGTTTCATCACTAATTATGACGCGAACATAACCAGGAGTTATTCGTTTGTTTGATTGTGGAGAACTTTCTCGCATTATTTCGATTGGTCGTCCTGGTGCTAAAATATAAGTGACATTTAATTAAGCTTTTAAATATGATTCAAATAAAAAAAAAGAAAACCTTCGCGATCAATTTTACGCCATGCAGCTTGAACAGTTTTGCCAATGAGACCTTCAAAACGTTGTCGGATATCAACCGATGCATTTGTTGTTAATAAAAGAAGAAATAGAGAAAGACTAATAAAGCACAATGTTGATAAACGCATCGTGTCGACGAGAAACTATGAAATAAATGATTTGAATGATAACAATCAATTGTTAAATGCTACTAGGATTTAGGTTACCCTTTAATGTTGCGTAGGTTTATCCTAATCTGAAGTGAGTCATTATTTCTATTTTGTAACTTATTTTTTAAACGATTCTTTTTCTTTCTCATTCAGGTAACAATGCATCGTGAAAAAAGTTATTATTTTCTACATTTTGAAATCTATCCTTTTAGATGAATGATTCATTCAAATGAAACTTAATCTTTTGCTTTTCATTGATTGTCAATAGATAAAATGTATAAAAAGTATTACATAAATATTTCTTCAAAATATGAATTAGATCATTTTTTTTAATTTATAGAACGACGAGAGAACCTATTTTCAATCTGTTAATTGATATTATTCATCGAATTTCTTGTTATGATGATAGAAATTTTTTATTTCACTAAAATTGTCTAATTTTTACTTGGACATGAAATAAAAATATTGAAAAAAAACAAGAACTGAAGATCAAACTATAATCAATTAACACAACAAACTAAATGTTCGGCTTCTTTTTTTTTTGTAAACGCTCAATATTATATACAAATTATCAGTAAATAAATCAAACTATCAGTATAAAATTTAGTGTTCGGTTACTATTATGTTTGTTCACTTAACTAATAGTTTACTCAGTAAGTTAATAATTTGTGTGTATGAATGTCGGTGTGAGCGTGTGTTTGAATGTGAAGTGTGGGTGCTACTGCCAGGAACGATCGATATCCATGCCACATGCACACAATCACAGCCATATATTGAAATATTGAGTCGTTTTATATTAATTACTGAGCTTGCCAAACTATTTCCTATACTAAAACTAATTTATTACTGAGCAAAACCTACTGAGCACGTAATAAGAAAGAATACTGAGCAATTAAATACAAGTGATTAACGACGACAATAAAATTTGCCAGGCTACACTACTTACATAATTTTTGTGTTGGTATTATGATTTATTAATAAATAAAGAAAAATAATTCAGTAACATTCAAAGCAAAGCTTTATCGAATAAGATCAATCGAAAAATCAGATTTGATATACGTATGTAATTGATTACAGAAAGATTCAAAATATTTACTGGTTATTTGTTGTTTTATTTATTATGAAACTATAGTACTTTGATCAAACTAATTGGATCATAGTACACTTAAGGAATATAGAGGACTTGTTTACATCGGACAGATGTCATGAGATGTTTCATAACAGATGTATTAAAAGTTTTTAGATAGAATGTTCCTTAGTTTTTGGATTGAAGAAGAAGATCGGTAGAAAATAGTAAATACTTGGTTAGAAGTAGACTTTTGTGTTCTTTCCGAATCTAAGGTTCAAAATTTGTTGACACTCATAAGTCAGAAGTTATGAACAAGTCTTTGAAAGATATGAAAATAAAGTTTGGACGAAGACAGTTTCATTAATTGATTCTGAGACGAAGCATCTGATTGTATCTTGCTGAAAATTGATTTGATGTTGATGTTCATTGATTTTTCTTATTACTTTTGTAAAAAATACCCATTTCGTTTAATCCCACTTCTCGACAATGATAACTCTTATTGCATACATTATATGTACGATTTTTTTAGCACAGTATAAAGATCGAGACTATCCTCTACGAAGTCAGTTAAGAAATGAGAGTTTCAAGGCTTTCAGTCAGAAACGATTGTGTTCACATTGTAAGTCTGGAAATGAAGGAATTGCGAATATGTCATTGTATCTCTTACCAAAACTTCAATTGTAGATAGATACCTAACAAAAAACTGATTATCCAGATATTCTTTCGTAGAGAAATGTTTGCTCTTTCTATTAATATATGTAGAATAAATGTTACCTCTATTCTGCATGTTGTACTAAGCATCAAAAACTGTCCCAACTGTACTTTTAGACCTTTCAGAGATTTGCTCATAACTCCTGATCTGTGGATCTCACAAAAATTCTGAGCATAGATTCAAAAAGAGCACAAAATTCTAAGTTTAATCAAGCGTTTAATAATTTTTGATGACACTCTTGCATCGTTGAAAAATTAATGTCGGCGTAGGACTTAAAGATACTCGATTAAAAATTAAATAAGTCGAGAACACAAGCAACTAGCGATCTGTAGTTTTCAGCAAGTGGAAGAGAAGACATGAAAACGTCTTTTTCTTCGACAATATATAGGATAAAATCATTTAGAAACCAATTACTTTCACAAAACATTCAAAAAAAATATATGAAAATGGTCTGTCATGTTGATGAAATTTTGATAACAAGCAAGATAATTTGCTTAAAAACAAACAAAATTTCATATTACTTAATCGAGCAGGTACACAATTTTGTTTTACTCAGCATTAGAATATGAAAGGTAATCATTCAAATTGTTTCTTGAACTATAGATCGCAAGTTTCTTCATCTAAACGGCATGTCAAAAAACACAATTTCATCGGAATAATAGACTATTTTTATACATTTTTTTAAAATATTTTGCGGAAATCATTGATTTCACGATGATTTTATCCTATATATATATATTATCGGCGAAAAAGACGTTTCCACATCTTCTCTTTCAATTGCTGAAAACCACAGATCATTAGCTGCTTGCGTTTTCGACTTATATAATCTTTAACTGAATACCTTTAAGTCCCGCGTCGACATCAGTTAAAACTTCATGAATTCATGGTATTATCGTTTTTAAATTCTTTTTAAGTATGAAAACCTGCTCAATAGTTGATTATCGATAATTCATTAATCATTACTTGATAAAGCACGATGCATCAATCTTTATTGGTTTTTCTTTAATGATTTTTTATTGAGATAAAACAATGAAGTTTTCTATCAAATACAATCTCAAATAATGACAATTATAATATTAATACACTTTATTAAATATGAAGAGTTAAGATATAAATAGTTCGCTTTCGACTGAAATTATTTTAGTAGTTTTTGTTTAAAAACATATTATTTAATCTGCTTAGAAATATTCGTCACAATGTTAACATAATTGTATGATGAGTTTATAAGACAAGTTGAAATCATAATGATCATTTATACATAGAAACACGAATTATAGAGAATGAAGATAATATTTTTATTCGAAACGAAATTTTATAATACTGTCTTTTACTTTATGATATCAAACACAAATGATTTGTTCATGTTTATGACAAAATAAGAACTGAAAAAAATCTTCGGTTTATACAAGCACACATTACCTTGATAAAGTCAGAATTGAATAGTAAATTGTCAAAAAAAACAAACTCTCGAACAGTCTCCTTAGTAACAATGATTGTCATCAAAGTCTAGTATTTATTTATATTTTATTATTATCGATATTGTTTATTTTTGAAACTATTCATATTATGTCAGCTAAGATAATAACAACATTGGGACCAGCTAGTGGTAATCCTGAAGTTTTACAATATTTTAAAGAACATTCAGTTGAAATAGCTCGCTTAAATGGTTCTCATGGTATTATTGAAGAACATATACGTATGGCTAAACTTGCTGTCTATGCTGGTTTAGATTTGATGCTTGATTTGCCTGGACCAAAGATTCGTTTAGGAGAAATTAATGATACATCATTTTCAGTAAAAGCTGGTGAAAAAGTAATTATCGAAAACGTAAAAAACACTAAAAAACATAATATCATTGACAAAGAAAATAATATAAAAATACTTCCATGCCAATTTTCAATTGAAAAATCGACTAAAATAAATGATATTGTCTATATTGATGATGGGAAACTACAATTTCGTGTACTCAAAGTTGAAGCCAATCGTATACAAGCTGAAGCACTCAATAGTGGTCTAGTTAAGAGTCACAAAGGTGTTAATTTACCTCGTAAGTTAATAGAAAAGAAAGGAAAGAAGTTCAGTGTTTTAGTTAGACTTTATTTTTCTGAAGAGTGATTTCAAATTCCACAAGAACGAACATCTATTTTTCGAAGTATAGACACTGTATGTCGTACAATGATCACAAACTCTGGAAGGACTAACTCGATCTTCGGAGAAGCACCGTCTTCTCGATCCTCATGCTGAATAAAGCACTGAAGAAGTTAAATGTATACTAGCAGACAAAAGTTTAGAGCAACTGTATTTTTGAATTTTCTTGTTGATCGTAATAGCTATCAAGAATCTGAAAAAAAAAATAGTTGTATTGCGGAAAGAATCCTCTATTAGGATTGGTAGATTCAAAGACTCTAACAAAACTGCTTGGAGGGGGTCTACGGACAACCAAGATGCTTAAAGTCAGCTTTCTGGCTTCCATTCGAAACTTTTGGAGAAAAGTTTTCTTTGATAACACAAATGATTCTAAGCAAAATGAGATGTCTACGACCTCTCTATGACCTTCTTTCATTGAACTGAATTCAATTTACACATGATCTCAAAGCATCAAACATGGCAAAATTGATAAATTGAATGCAGTTCGATGAAGGAAGGTCATACGGAGATCGGAAACATCTCATTTTCCTCAGAATCATTTACTCTATCAAACAAAATCTTTTTCCAAATATTTCGAATGGAAGTCAGAAAGGTGGTTTTAGAATCTTAGTTTTCCTCAGATCCTTTCTTATTCAAGCAGTTTTGTTGAAGTCTTCGGGCTTACCAATGCTAATAGACAATCGTTTCAGCTGCACAAATATTTTTTTGTAATTCTTGCTAGCTATTAATTACTATCGAGAAGAAAACTTAAAAATATAACTGATCTAAAGCTATGTCCGTCATTATAGATATCATCTATATAATGTTATAAGAAAATTCTTTTCATTTTATAGATGGTAAAATAGATATAGATTTTCTTACTGAAAATGATCTTCGTCTTATCGAAAAGTTATTACCTATAATTAAACCGAAATATGTAGCTACATCATTTGTTAAAACTATCAATGATATTCATCGATTGAAAAAAGCTATCCAAGATTCACTTAGTAATATAAAAGATTATTATCCAAGGATTATAGTTAAAATTGAAATGGCTGAAGCTATTGAACCAATTAATATAACAAATCTTATCAATGAATGTGATATGATTATGATTGCCCGTGGTGATTTAGCTCTTGAAACAACACCTGTACATATTCGTGTTCCATTTATACAAGCTGATTTAGTTCAACGTTGTCAAAAACAAAATAAACCATTTATTATTGCTACACAAATACTTGAATCAATGATTACATGTCCAGTACCAACACGTGCTGAAGTTTCCGATCTTTATCGAGCCATTGTTTTAGATAAAGCTAATTATATTATGTTATCTAGTGAAGCAGCTGTTGGACAATATCCAAAAGAATGTGTCACAATAATGCATGATTTAATTCATTATAATAAGAATAATCAATTAGAATTAAATAATTCTAATAAAAAATTACCAAGTGAGACAGTTTCAAAACGTTCAATAAAGAAAATAAAAACGCAAAATCGATTGAAATTAATTAAAAGAAAACGTTTATGATATAAAAACAAGAACAAACAATTTAATTTAATATAAACAGATCGAAATTATGAGAGAATATTATTTTTAATTAATTAAATAAATGATACAACAAAACAAAAAAATATTTTCTCATAATAAACTCCTTTTAACAATAAAATTCAGTGATTCATTATCGTATTGAATATTCAATATATAGAAATAAAAATTTTCATAAAAAATTAATCAAAACTTGTGTAAATAATGTTCCAATGATGATTACGTAGAACACATAGATTGGAAAAGAAAATTATTTATTCAATATACATAATTAATATTTTCTAAAGAAAAAAAAAACTAACCATTATCATAGAATTGAACTATGTCGGACGAATGTTTCTATTCTCAAGGGAAATCTTAGTTCAAAAAAGAAAAAAAAAAAGAGCTATGTTACTTTTTATCTCATATGATCATGATCGGAATCGATTATAAAACTGATGAACAATCGACTAGAAATAAATTTATTTTACTTAATGTCTTTTCAGACTATTCTATATATTTACATATAGAATATATTATAATAACAATACTTCTATATTTATAATTAGGGAACCGCCAGTCTCTCCAAAGCCAAGTTCAAAGTTTAATTTATTGTCAGGTACAGATCCAGATTCACAAAAAACGTGAACCTGTAGCTGCCTATTTGCTTGATATCGTTCACATCGATACAACTAAAACTATTCCATATAGGTAAAGATTTTTGTGTTACTATTAGTTTGACGATTTTCAACGAAGAATTTTGTTTATCAATTGTTTGTTCAATTTCATTTTTTCTATTAACATATATCGAATGATGGGAAAGTGTACAATAAGATATGATTGTACGTTGACTTTTTTATCTGAGATTAGCCAATAAATAGCTAAAACCTTAATTCTTCACTTGTTCATATATACAAAAGGTGTCAAATCTTGATGGAAAAAAATTCGGATCAGACTTTCTCACATTCACAAAAACGTATACCCGCAGTTCCCTATTTATAAGCATATATATAGTTTTTGCAATTAGTTCATCATTTTTGTTTTTCATTTTAAAATATAATTTACTTCTATCTTTTTCTCTATCGATGAATAGATTACCCTATAGATTTGTTTCTAATTGTGTTTTAGAATTTGATCAGTTGAACTACTTACTAAATTGATTACTATTATTTGTTTCGAGCAGTATTAATTTTGAGTGGATATTATTCTTGTAAGTTTTGATTATTCACAAAAAAAAAGCAATAAAGATTATTGTTAATATTACAATGGTACCTAATAGAAATATATAAATATTCAAAATAATATTAAATAACATGGGACTTTTGTTATTGTATTCAAAAAAAAACATAGATAGAAAAACGATTCTATTTCATTGTATTGATGAGCCTCAATTCCTCGTCAAACCTCCGTCCAAAAGAAGAAAATCGATTTGTGACAAAGATTAACGAGGTGCTGAAGACTCATCTGTTCCAAAACGTAGAAATAGACAAATAAGCAAGTAAACAAGCAGTAGACAGACATTAACTATTCTTGTATTCATATATTTTATAAACAGACGATAAAAAATACAACATTGAAATGATGTAGTCGAATAGAAATTGTTGATCTTATCTGTAAAAAAAAGTCTAACAAGATCCCAAATAAATGTTCAAATGAACGATAAAGATAACATTGTATATTATATGTATGAATCAAATGTAATAGTAAAAAACGAATGAAATGATGACGACCATGATGAGCAACAAGGTCACTTTCAAACGAAATAAAAAAGCAGAAGCAAAAGAAAACGACAAGACTATGATGATGACGAAGTCAAGTATAAAGAAGATATGTATCTTTATCTCTTTGTCTTTTTTTTGTTACATTTGTTGTTTCTTTCTTTCTTTCTTTCTTTTTTTTTCTTTTTTTTTCTTTGATGATGACTTAAAGCAACTATTGAGAATCAATACATTCATCAATAATCGCTAATAGGTTTTATTACATATTAGGTTTAATTGCTTGTCGAAACGGTAATTCTGTGAAAAGAGACAAAACATCTGACCTTAAATGACATTTCCATCTAGACAAGCAACATTACTACTCGTCTGTCGACGAGTTGTATATCGAGTAAGCATGAGAAAAAAAAATAGTAAGAAAAAAAAACTGAAGAATGAGAAAGAAGAAAGAAAATCGTGCGATGAATGAATGAACAAATGTATACATATCCCTATGGCTAAAGAATCGAACACTAATAGTAGACGAATGCATATATATATATATATACATTCAACACTTGCATTTTGAACCTTATCATTCGACTTGATCGGTTCTTGCATGTATTGGATGAAGAACAAGAGAGAATTCTTCTCACACATACTGCTCAACTATACATAAGAAGAGTTCAACCTTGTCGAAAGCGAGTACGACTATGGTTATATATATATATATATATATATATATGTATACAGAAAAGAAGGAAAGAATGAGTTCTAATTACAGCTTTGGGTCGCGACTTTACACAAGAAGTGTTTGTATCTATGCCATCAGCTACGTTCGTTTGCTGATGATCGCATTAGACAGTCGATATTTGTAAGATATAAGCCGATTTCTTGATCTTTCATACGGAAAAGATTTCCAGTGATCAAAAATCTATGTTGCACACGTACTCGACAAGAAAAAGTACTTTCAACTCGGTATGATTTCACTATTCCTATTACTAATTGTCTTTCTCAATAGTATTTTGTATACGAAATAATATATGTGAATATAAAAGATAAAAATAGAAATCTTTACACTCGCGACTTTTTTTTAAAAAGCCTTCCTTCATTAGAAAATGCACAAGATAAACATCGAGTACTGTTAGAAAAAGAAAAAAAAACCTATATGATCCAATTCATCCTACCTCGTTGAATATGCAGTAGTAACAGGATGCAATATTATCAATAGCCGCTACTATGTTCGCATGTCACTTATCTAATAAAAAAAAATGACGGCGTCGACGACACACAACGTGTGATCGGCACTTGCGTAGACATAGAGATGGATGATAATGGTAAAGAATAATAAATGGAGTTGCTTCGACTACTACTATTGCTGCTGCTTCTAATCCCTTGAGATGAACTCTCATTTGTTTCCGATCGTTGCCGTCATTCGGTTGTTGCTTGTGCTTGTGATACTGGAATAAGAGAGCATAACCCTCGTTGATCTTTCGTTAACATTCTTACCTGCTCTTAGTTATTTTTTTTTTGTTGTTATTTGGTCTTGATGTCTACTAGGAAGATGATGATTGCGTAAGAATGATCTGACGAATGATTCCATCACTTAATACTAAAATCTTTAATCAATTTGATAGTGCGAGAATATACAAACAGAAATAGAGAGAGAGAGAGAGAGAGAGAGAGAAGACAATTTGGATGGATGTGATACTACTATATGTTGTTGCCACTGGTCGGTCGTTTTTTCTTGTATTGACTCTCGTTTTTTTTTTTGTGCTTCTACATATACACGTTCCTATACTTTGTACTGCACCAGATGGTATGGTAGTAAAGAGAAAAAAAATTAAAGCAAGCAAGAAAGCATGTCAAGCAAAAAAAAGGAGAGAGAGAGAGAGAGAGCAAATGATGTATCGTGGACATTCGCACACGTATGTATTGCAAAAAAAAGCATTTGCTTCTTTATTCATTCGTCTTTCTTTCTTTCTCATGTTTGCTTCATTTTTTTGGCACTTTTCTTCCGTCTTTCTCTCGTTCTTTTCTCCTCCTCGTCGTCGTCTTTATCGTTGTTCGTCGATATTAGAACCGCAATGTTTTTTTGTCTGTTCCATGCCTTCTACATTGCCTAGTGTGTGAATGATGGGAGAAGAGAGAGACGATGAGGGGGCTACACAATCATGTAAAATGTTTATATATGTGTGTGTGTGTGTGTGCGAGCGCTGATAGATTATATTTTCTATCTATCTATGACGATGATGAGGACGAGGAAAACGCCCGCGCCACTATTGCCGGTCTATTTCGAATCGACTCGTCGTTTCTCTTAGCCTCTCTTCCTTTCTCCGGTTCTTCTCTAATGTTAAGAATTTTTTTGCTTGCCGTCATAGAACTAAGAAAAAAATCGATGGAGCACAGAAGATAGATAGATGGATGAATGGACGGATGGATGGATGAATGAATGCAACTGGAAGTAGTTGTTCTAGTCGTTTTTTTTAATGTAATGAACACATGAAAAAAAAAATATATGAGAGGAAGAAGGGAAAGAGACATCTTCTTCCCCTTTATATTGTAATCAAAGTGAAGAGCACCAAATAGTACTAGCTTTGTATAAAAGACGGCAAATAAATTACTTTATCTGTGCAAGAATAGGGATAACTAATTGAAGAGCATAAGAGAAGGGAGAGAGAGAGAGAGAGACAAAGAGAAAGAATGATGTATTTTTTCGAAGAATTGACTCGTCAAGCCCATAAATGCAAATGAATATTAGAAAAAAAAAAGACTAACTATGAACAAAAAAAAGCAAAAAAGAGTTGCAATTTTCATTCATCGTTACTTCGAATCAACTACAGGAAACATCGACATCAATGTACTGAATGATGATAAATATTTTCTTGTAGTAATCGTTTTTTTGTTGTCTTACCCTTCTCGCTCTCTTCACATTATTATTAAACTAACAAAGAACAATCTATATTCTTTCTCTCTCTCCCTCTCTCCCCCTCTCTCTTGCTTAACACTAGAAAAAAAAATGTTAATTCTTTGTTGTTTAGCCAGCACGTTCATTGATTTGATTGAAGAAGGCTTGAAGCCAACACTAATCGGGATGAATGCAAAACGAATGTAATCGGCTCCTTAGCCTGTCTAATACTATCTATATGCAAATGAATAACGAACTTCTATCAAATTTTTTGTCTTTGATAAGTTCATTATCTCATTTAATGAGTTGATTTTCACCACAGAAAAAAAAAGAAATTTCTTTATTATAATAAAAAAATACGTTATGTGTTCATGACATCAGACAAACGAAGCTGGGAAATAACCACTACCACGAACCATTCGACGGCCACCACCACCATATCCAAAACTACCGCCAGGACCAGATGAATGTTGTTGTTTATCATGTACAACTTGAAATTTGTCTAAACGAAAAAAACAAAAAATAAAAGTTCGTCAAAATTTTTATACAATTGACTAGATTATTTATTTTCATATGAATTCAAGATAAGAATGTTCTTTTAAGAATAAAAAAAGAAAATTGTAAATCAATTTATCACATTTCTAACTGTTGAAAAAAAGATTAATGATTCTACTGAAATATATCATATACCAAAAGGGAAATAATTCGATAACAATCAAATTAACCCTATGACCTTAAAAAATTTTCAATATGAAAATCTAATTTATTAATCATTTCTCTATAAAAATAGAATAGAAAATAAAACAATTTCTATATTCAAAGTTGTATCATTTATAGAAGTAAAAAATAATTGAATAAATTTTTTGCGTGATCTAAAAACTCGATTTCATGTTCTCTAAACCTCAGATCTAGTCATTTCTACTTAATCATTATTGTCATAGAAAAAAAATTTTCTTATTTGATTGATCTGAACATCCAATCATATTAATTTTCCAATGGCAATGTATATAAATTAAATTACCACAAAATCAAATACTGAAAATAATAAAATAAAAAAACCAATGAAACCGTCCGCTCCAAAGATTCTATATTAATTCTAAATTATACAAGTAATTCAGACTTTATTCTTAAGTTTCAAAATGAATTTTTCTTTTTTTTTTGCTTCGACAAAATAAACTAAAATAAAACTTACTCAAATAATCATTCAATGTACTAATTTCTTGTGTGCAACATGCTAATAAAGCTAAAAGAGCAACGTCAGATTGTTGAATATCAAAATCTTCACGAAACATTTGATTATTATTATCATCTGTATTTATAATTGGTAAACGTTGACATAAAGAACCGATTTCACGTAAAAGATCATCATTTCTTTCTAATTGACCTTGTTTAACTGCACGTACATATTCAAGTAAAATAAGCATACGTTGATAAAGTAAACGAATAGCATTATATTGTATAGCTATTTGATCAGATACAATTGATGTATCAGATGTACCATCAGTTACAGAATATCGTGCAACATGATCAATACCAATACGTTCAGCCTCTTCAGTTATAAGTGTATAAGGTATTTCAATGAAATCAATTTTAGTTCCTAAATCGACAATTGTTTCATAAACATGTATGGGTAATTCATTTGATACACCAACTGGATCAAGTCGAAGAAGAAGTGGACTTTCATTAAGTGAACATAATTGAGCATAAAATGAACTCATTGTAGATGGATTCCAATCTTTACTTTCAACTGTATACCAACCCGTAAAATCAAGATCAGGATGAACTTGTCGAATTAATTCAAGTTTTTTGGTTAAAAAATCCATATCAATTGTTACATTAGAAGTTGTTGTTGTTGTTGTTGTCGCCGGTGTTGAATCATGAACAAGTTTAAATTCGAATGTATTGCATAATTCAACATGACGACCTTTTATTTTACCTAATAATGCACCATAAACAGGTTTTACTTGTGATGTTTGAACACGAACACGTGTATGATGTTCAGCTATATTCATAATAACTAAAGGATGAAGAGACAATGTTACACTGCTCTTTCCTGTAGTTGCTGTGGATGTCGTCGCTGTTGTTGCCATCTAAAATAATGACAAAATCAAAAAAAACAAACTCCAAACAAAACTGATATACGTGTGTTGATGTATTTTTAATCGAATATTGTGGAATCTAAAAACACGTTTACATCCTCGAAATAAATGTTTATAATAGGTGTGATACAATTTACCGCGGGTATTATAGTGTGTATATGTGGTAAAACAAAGATACAGCAAGAAAAAGAACAAAAAAAAACCAAAGATGAAATATGACACGCAACGACCAAAACAAACATCAGAAAAAAAAAAGAAACGATGACTAACACAAAGCTTACGTGAACGGCGAAAGAAAGAAGACGAAAAAAAAATTTCACACCATATATAAAAGGATATAATTAGACAGAATCTGTCGAACAGAAACTGTTGTTTTTTTGCTCGTTTGATGATGAAATTAAAACAATTATAACATGTATATATATATATATACGCACAAACAACAGCAATTAACGAACAATGGGAAAGAAAAACAAAAAAAAATGAGAAAACATTATTTTCTTTTTTTTTTTAACAATTAGACGGATTGCTTGTAGTATTATTGAGCGAATTGGAACGTCGTACAGTGATTAAACTAGTTAAAAATGATGATGATTGTATAGTTGGTTGTGATGGTAAAGATAAACGAGTATTAGTTTCACCGGATGTTATTAAACGTACAGTTGAATTTGTGGTTGTTGATCCATTGATGCATCGTTGAATTCGTATGCGACCAATACGTCTAAATAAATAGAAAATTTCAAATAATAGAAGAAAGTAAATGTACAGTAGTTGCAAGAAATCCCGCTACCGAGTAAAAAAAACATCAATTTCAATCCTTTTGCTTGAAATTTTGACTATAAATAGAACTCGATAAACTCTGATCGCAAGCAGCAAGCCGAAGTCGATAAGTCTTTATGCAAAGAATTTACGATGAAAACACTGGTTTTCCATAGGGATAAAAAAAAAAGCTTTTTTTGACACTTTTCTGGTTTCCCATTATTTAAATGCGTTAATTTCCATTTTTTTATTAACAAATAAAGATTTGCATGTCTTTATTGTGTCACAAAAAAATATTCTAATCCACTTTAATCTTCAGGGACAGAGAAGCCTTCATTATCTGTGACGGTTTCAGAACGAATCTTTTCTCCATTAATAAATGTTATCATGAAGTTTTCAAGAAAAACTTGATTAGAACAGGACACTTATTGGAGAAAATTTCAAAGCAAATGGTTAAAATTAGCCAAAGATACGGGTAACTTTTCGACAATTTCCATCAACTCTCATGCGGAGATTATCTAAAGAATACTTCATAAATTAGACAAGCTAAAACTGTTTGACATGGAAATTTTATTGAGGATACAGACAGCACTGAGCTATCAAATGAAGAGTTCAACATTACGAGATTCATTTTCTATGTTGAGATATTCTCGTCTGAAGATGAAATCTATGTTGACCTTCTAGCTCCTCCGTATGAAGACAGATCAAGTCCTGATTAGTCCTTGCGATCAGAGTTCAACATACTCTATTTGTAGTCGAATTATGAGACGAAAGGATTCAAATTTAGATACTTTTTTTTGCCTGGCAGCAAGACTTGTTTGCAATTACTGTTATACTTACTTTGTGGCTGGTATATTTGAATCATTGGAATTTTCATAAGTGAATGATAATGGTGAACGTCCAGATGGTAAAAGAGATTCTGTTGATATTGTTTGATCAGTTGATGGAAGAGATACGAGATTCGATAGATCGATTTTATGTTGATTTTTTCTATTGGATGCTTTTGTCATTCGTCGTTTGCCTAAAAATAATAAAAATAAATAAATAAATTTATTTATTTTAGTACATACGCATATAAGGATCAGTTCGACGACGTCTTTTTGTAGGTTTTTTTGTTTTTTGTGGAATTAATGATGAATCATTATTATTTATTGTTGATGAAGTTTTATTTCTTGTTTGAATAACTTGTTGTGATAATAATGTCGATCCTGACATTATATCTAAATAATAACTTATTTTAATTTAGACAAAACAATAAATATTTGCTCACGTTGCGACGAATTATTTTCTGATAGAGAAAGATTATTCATCGATTCTATGCGTCGACGTTTAGCTGTAGGCAATGTTAAAGTGTTTTGTCGTGTATTATCAATTGAAGGTTGACTACTACGAATAGCAAAATTAAGTGAATGTGCTCGACGACGAAGACCACTTGCTAATGGATCTAAAAAAAATAATAAAAATTTTATTAGTAATAAATACATAATGAAAGTTTTTATTCTTTTATTTACCCAAATTAAGACAGAAAAGTTTCAAATGTTTTGTTACATCATTGTCTTGATCTGATCTATCTTGTTTTATATCTATAGCATTACAAAAATTAATTGATTAGAAAAAATATCTTTAATACTAATTTACTCATTTCATTCGTATTTTCAGATATTAATAACTCATCTTTCTGTTCATTTAAGTTATCAACTGATATAGCTCGTTTCCGTTTAGTTAATTGACATGTCATTGATGTGACTATATAATAAATAGGAAAATATTAAAATTTTTATTTTTTATTATTTTTTTTTGTTTCGAACCTGATGGATTTGCTAGAATAGAAGATGAAACTGTATTTGTTATACATCGACTATAAACAAGTATATACGCATCCGCTGTTTTGACAGATTCAAATGTTGTTTGTTCAATCATATGATCATCACAACGAAGCCATTCACCTATTTTTTTTTATATAATAATAATAATAATTTTAGTAATAGTTTTTCACATATGAAATAATTTTTTTTTTTACCAAGAACATCATTATGAACAAAAGCAACGAAATGTCCCGTATTAATACTTTTACCATAATGTACAATAACACCACGTAAACGATATAAACATTCATTTGTTGAATTATCATTTTGTTTTGAACATGTCGATGATAATGTGTTAAGTGTTGATTGTGTACAATATGGTGCCATATCAAGATATTCATCGAAGTTAACATGTAAAGTTATTTTATGTGATAATTGACGTGCTTGACGAGATGTCGGTCGTCGTAAAGGTGTTTGCGGTAATGAACGGAATCGACGTAAAACAACATGTAATACTTGTGGAAGTTTGGATATTAGTAAACGTTTTTGTGCTTTTGTACCTTCTTTTGATGGACTTCGAACTAAATTATTATAAAAAGAAAATTTTGAAAAGAGAAAAAATAAATTAGATTTTGAAATCTTTACCAGTACAATTTGAACAATGAAATGGTGTGGATAAAGCTTCCCATTGATAAAAATGAGCAAGCATTTCTAAACACCATATTCAATTAATTATATTCATATTAATATTAACAAACCTGTAAGATGGCATGAACGCCGACGACTAGATCCCCTTACATCACAAAGCATTTTTTCTGAGAATGTTAATGTGATAAATGTTTCATCTGTTTTTGTGACTGATAAACGATGACATTGTTCACATAATATCTAATTTCGAAAAAAAAAAATTAACATAGATTTCTTTTTTTTTTTTAAATTAAAGTCTACCTGACTTTCCGAAGAGAAACCTAATAGATCATTAATTATATTTGTATCCGCTAAATTGTTCGTTTTTATTTCATCTGTAACAGCAGCTAATAGTGCTCTATAGAAAACATTGAATATATATATATATTTATTTATTTATTTATTCTAAAAATTTATTTTATATCATTTTACTCAAGAAATTCTTGTGCATCTTCCATTGCACATGGTTCAAAACTAGGTAATAAACGTCGAACAGCAGCAATCATATTTAATGGTGAATAAACCATACATTTACCCGACCAAATTATATTAAATGTTCCATGTAATTCATATGCAAGATAACTTCACAAGAAAAAAGAAACTCCATAAAATATTATCGAAATAAATAAATCTATCATTACCATGGTACTCGGCGTGGTTGAGATTCAAGTGCTTTAAGTAAACCACGACCACCACCTTTTAAACGTGTTGGATTATGTGATGAAGCAACCTGGGAAAAGTTTTGTTTTTTAATGTTTTATTTAATTACAATTCGAAAACTTTTAGTATTTCTATCAAAAATTAATTTATAAAATACATACCATTGGCACATCAGATGGTTGTTCTAAACCAAGACTTTCAAAACTCATTGAACAAATTGCGTCACAAAATTGTGGTACATGACTAAAGAAATATTAGGTTTTAAATTTAAATTAAACTAATGTTTTTTTTTTTTTGTCAAACCTAAGTAATTGAAGTACACAATTAACATAACATGTATTACCCAAATTATATAATCCAGTATGACCAGCATAATAAAGTTTAGATTGAACAGTTTTTAGACTAGAAAAAAATAAAGATCCAACAAAATTGAATTTAATTTTCATAAAAGTTCTTTTTTTTTTCCATACGATGGAAATGATAACTGATCATCTGTTGAATTTTTAATTGTTGTAGACGATTGTTGTTGTCGTTGTTGATCATTATTATTATTATCTTTGAGAATAATAACAGTACCATTATGTGTAGGTGAATTTAATGATGTATTTGGTGATGAACATCGAATTGATGATGTTACAGGTTTAACGGGACTTCGAAGAACAATTGTCGATTCGGCCATCGATTGATTTTGGGGATCGAAGAATTAAAAAATATATATGAATATATTCGAATATAATGCTAAAAGAAAAAATGTATTCCGTTGATTTTTTTTTTCAAGAGAAATTTATTTCGCATGTAATCTTAGTAAATCTGTTCTTTTTTTTTCTTCTCCATTTCACATTATTAATAACGTTGAATGAGTCAGCAAGGAATAAATCAGCTGATCGAATTCTTGATGCGTAAAATGGAAAGACACGAATGACGACGATGACTGCAAATTGGTTTATTCATGAAATGTGCGTCGTTATAATGGATACATACATGAACTGAACATTTTTTTTTTGCTTTCTCAATAAGACGGACAGCATTGTAATGCTACGTTCGATTGTCCGTCCGTCGCTATGCACTCACGGAAACATTTCGGCCTTGTCAACATATAGTGATCCGTTAAATAAACAAAAGAGAAGAAGAAATAACAAAAAACCTTTATTTAATTGTTAATTCATTATACGTAGAACACAAAATACAGTAGAAGAATAAGATCATTTGGTTAAAAAAAAAGGAAGAAAAATAACAATAGTAATAACAAAAAAAAAGTATGAAATAATCCTAACAATAAAGGCAAAGAATTGTTTATTATGGTGGAACGACGAAATCTTATTGGTTGATATAAACCAATTGAATTTTTTAAAAATTAATGATTCATTTCAATCAGATCATGTTTCTTTCTGTTGTCCTATAATAGAAACAAGTAATAGTTGATTAGAATTTAAATAACTTTTTTCTCTTCTTTTTTTAGTACTTCTTATCAAGGGGCGTTTGTTTACTTTGATCATATTAAAAAAAAAATAAAAATATTATTCTGGAAGGAAAAGAAAAAAAATCATTCGATGTAAAAAAAAAAAAAAAAAGTTTATTTCTTTCTTTTTTTTATTCTCTCTCTTTCTTCCAATATAAATCCGTTATTTTTCTTTTTTTATGTCAATGAACGAGACTATTCATTATTAGTTCTATTTATTCAAGATAACGTGAGATTGTTCTCTATTGACAAGCTCGGTCAGCCTTTGTTCAATAGTCGGATATATTTTGTGGCTACTAGTTACCCTATTGAGAGGGTCGTGCCATTAGCCCCGTTTTTTTTTCTCGTTCATGGTTTCTTCTTTAACGATCGCTTGTCAAATAGAACACATACTATACCTCATCATCGTATTGACTTTTGACGAAAGAAAATGGAGGGTGGTGGATATGGACGTTCTATGTATAACCTCTTGTAATCAACGTGCTCTGTTGTTTCTTTTTTTTTTTTTGTTGTTGTTTTGTTAGTCTCAAATTTAATATTTTATTCATCTAGTTTTATAGATTTGAAAATTTGAATCAAAGCATACCAAACATGGGCAACTTAACATCCGTAATTTCTTGTGGATTTCAAAATATGACACGAGTGTCTATTGTACTCAAAATCATTGAATTGGTAAATATAGTTATAATTTAAAATAAAAAAGAAATAATGTTTATTATAATATTTAGGTTTGTGATATAATTGCGGTAATTTTATGTGGTGCTGGGCCAAGTCTTAACGAGGGTAACGGACGTCGAGGTTTTTTTTTGTTTGTTACCATACTCGCACTCATTATAACAATAGTAATATTCCTTATATGTATATCAAATCTAAAAGCCTTGTGTCAGAAACGACATTGGTATATAATTGTAAGTTATTGAAATAATTATTAAAAATTTTCCATATGATTCTATTTAGGAAATTGCTTGGTGTATATTTATTGCTTTGTTTTATTTCATTTCAAGTATTGTTATTGCAACTGCTGCAAAAGACAGTGGTGTTTATGGCGCTGCAGCGGTAAATCATTAATTGAAAAAAGATGAGAAGAAAAAAAAACAAATCTTTCTGTTTTTGTTTTTATAGTTCTTTGGCTTTGCAGCTTTTTGTACTTATGTAGCTGATGCAATTTACCAATTTCTTGAACTTCGCAGCACTCCACGCGCAGAACAATACGCAACAAATACATCACCAGGAAATGCTTAATAATCAATTTATTAAAAGAAAATTAGATCGATTTCAATTCTTTTCTGATGATGAAAGTATTTTATATAATTTGTTTTTGAAATGATTTCATGAACTGATAACAAATTTCTTTTTTTCTTGAATTGAAGAATTATTTCATTGTAAGTTTTTTTTTCTCACATTCCATTGAATCTCATTGGATTTTAATCTCATATAAATGAATGCATTTTTTTTTGTAAAGCTTTTTCTTTTTTGTGGTGGTGATAAATCAGAATGATCTGAATTAAGTAGTATAAACACGTCCATGCAAAAAATATGATCTGTTATTTATCAAGAATTTTTTTTCTTTTTGTTTTAAATTATCATGTTCTTTGCTTTTTATTGCTCACATTTTTGTGGTTTTTCTTCTGTCCATTTTCACAGTGACAAATAAAATGAAAGGTCTCAAATAAAAATTAAGAAAAAAAAAAGAAAACAAGAAAAATGAGAAACTTTTCGGGTCGAACATTCTTCTGTTTTCGATCCGACAAAGACGAAATAATAATTTAATAATAATGAAAATCAGTTTGAAAAGAACTCAATATTCTATTGACTTGGATCTTCATATATTGTTCTATCGAGAAAAAAGCAAGTATCATAACATTTTAGTTTGAGTACAAGAATATCAATCATTACCATGGACGTCATTTGATGAATTTGCAACATCGTTATATGCTGTTCGACTCGTCATGGTACTCGTCACATGTACACGTGTAAAACAAATTTATAGATCTATGTCTGTAGATATTCTATTGGTCTTATGATTTATTTTGGCTATTACGTTATATTTGATCCAACAAAAATTCCATGGTTTAGGAAAACAACATAAAAGACCGAAAATAACAAGAGTAGCCTTATTTCGACGATTTTATATCGTTTATATACATATATATATAGACTTTTTTTTCTATCGTTGATATCCTTGAGTTAGTTATTCTAATATTTTAAGCAAACTAGATGATATATTATATAATGCATATGAAAAATGATATCTATTTAATGAAACTAATTTTTAATATTATTATTTTATTATTTTTTCTTAGTCGAACTGTACTCAAAGTAGTGAAAAGATTTTTTTAGCACGAAACAAGCTCAAAATATAATTTTCTCAGCTTTTCTGATTGATTTGTCAGACATCTAAATAGATAACACTTCTTTCATGTATTCGATTTGTTCTTACATCCATCAACATACGCATCATAAAATTGTTGATGTTTGATGGAAAATGACGTAGAAATAGAATACACATGAATGCAATCTTTTCCTAGATTGACGATCTTTTTTTTCTTGTATATGAGTCAAAGATAGATTATGGTTTTACTCTCACCTACAAATTGAATTACTAAATTAGATCAAATTTATTCATTTCTTATATGCTTCTTAAGTATATTCTACTGCTTTCTATATCTAAATGATCACAAGAGAAAGTATCTTGTTTGTTTGCTCAAGGACGTCAAAGGAGTATAATAATTACTGTCTATAGTTTTTCTGGTACTTTTTTTTCGCCAGACCTTCTGTTTATATAATGACGCATTTCATACGCCGACTCACATGCTGAAGAAACGATAGAAAAATCGCATTATATAGAGATAGACATAATTTTCTCATTCAGTTTATTGCATTGACACAATACCAACTGCATTTCTTCAGTTTCATCTTTACCATAACATATAAGCGTCGATTATTCTTCAAGCATAAGATCGCAAACATACAATTGTGCAGTAGATTTGATTGTGCAATCAATCATTCTTATTGACTTTTAATTATACAATATTTTAAATTTGTTTACTACAAGGTACAAGATAACAAAAAATAAATTGATTTATTTTTTTTTTTGGACATAAAAAGATTAGTTATGATAATATAAATTTTCTTCTTTGTTTATAACTCAATATAATTATCGCTAAGAGAAGATTTTGACCTTGTCTAAGGTTGTCTGATTCCGATAAAAGAAATATGTTAAAGATTCCAGAAAGCATCTCAGATAGAAAAATAAACCGGGATAGCAGAAACATTAATTATAGATTGTTAGTTCTATTCTTAGGTTTTCCTTTACAGATGGCTAGTACATCTCAAATAACTTTCTCATTAATCAATACACTTGGTTCGCTTGAATTTGGTAAATCATTTTTAAATCAACCTCGTGGTATTGCTTATCGTCCATCGGATGGTTTATTATTTATTGCTGATTCAAAAAATGAACGTGTTGTTGCTTTTACAGAAGATAATAAATTGGCTAAAATTGTAAGTCATTATGGAACAAAAAATGGTATAGCTGTTATGAGTAATGATCAAGTATTAATGAGTGATGAATTACAAGTATTAATATTAAGTAGTGATCTACGTTTAACACGTACAATTGCTTGTGATGATATTCAAGCTGGCTTAACAAATTATCAAGGTATTTGTGTCGATGAAAATGATTCAATTTATGTATGTGATCAAGCTAATCGACAAATAAAAGTTTATGATCCAAAAAGTGGAGCTATTATAAGATTTTTTGGAGACAAAAATTTATTTAGTTCACTTGCATATTGTACAGCAACAAATGGACATATTTATGTTACAGATCCACAAGGTTTATTAACTTGATGAATTTTGTTTTTTTTTGAAATTTTTATAATCATTTAGGTTCATGTGTTCATAAATTTACACTTGATGGAATATATGTACAACGTTTTGGTAGTGAAACATCATCCGTTTTTCCTCTAGCACTTTCAAGTCCTCGTGGTATAACTGCATTTCCTGATTCAAGTCATTTACTTATTGCTGATTCTCATAATGATCGTTTGGTACTTTTTCATGAAAATGGTGAATTTCAACAATTAATAACAGGTGGTATAGAATATCCAGAATCATTAGCAGTAAATAAGAAAGGCCATTTATTTGTTGCTATGACTGATCGTATTGGTGTATTTTCTCGTCAAAGCTAATATGAAAAATCTTATATTCAAGTTTTTTTTGTGTTCTAATTTTACCGATTAATGTGTGCATCATTTTTATATAAATCCTTTTCTTTTTTTACGCCGGCAATTGAATTTTAAAGATAAAAAGAAATGACTCATTATTTGTTATCTGATTAAGATCTTGTTACCCTCGTAAATCGATTCTGGGCCAAGTACATTCAAGTCGCATGACATTTTCAGAATATGTTGCAACTATAGTAGAGAGATTATGTTGAAATTTTCAGTTATTTACAATGATATTTTCTGGAGATATTCAACTAACAACGAACAAAAAATAAATCATTTGACAACCGAAAATTCTATGGGGCTTCATTCTATATATTTAATTTTTTTTTATTTGAAAGAACATGTCAGACGCTGAAGTCTGACAGATTTTTTTTTATTTTTAATTTTTATATGGAGAAAGCGTATGACAAGTTTAATTAGAGTCCTGGATCGGAGTCATTAAAAGAAATTTCTTCGAAGTTGGAGTAATTGTGAAGAATGGTTTTCAGAGTCAATATCATAATTACATCAGTAAAACAGTCAAGCTTTCTTTTTACTCTTACATAGTAACAGGTTTATTCTTCATATGTTAAGTAATGCACAAAAACATACTATTTTATTGATTCATAAGTTTCAAGAAAAAAAATATTAGAGAAACATTCTCACTAATGAGTATCATTAAAAGAAGTATATATGTTAGTCAAAAAATTTTCGGAGACAAAAAAGTTTAACTCTTCAGGGTCCAAAGTGCAATTCCTTGAAAAATAGTCGCCTATTTATAGAAATTCTTTTTTATATAACAATAAAAAGCTTAATTCAAAAAAGAAACGAGCTCTGCAGCTTCACATGCTATTTAAAACAAAAAGATAAACAATTGATTACAACGAAGCTCCTTCGAGAATTCTGGAATGTACGATGGGAAAAACATAAACAGAGAAAAGACAAGGATTTCTTGTTTTTTTTTATGAAAAAAACCATATTTCTCAAGCAAAAGGTGAAGGACATCCTTGAAAACTTCCAGAAAAAAGGGCATCCCAAATTAAAAAAATCATATTGTTTGTGGAAGATTCGACCTCAAACTATCCTTCTATGCATCTATCCTAATTTTGATAATTCGAATTGAAAAGGACTTTTTTATGAGGAGACCTTAATAATTAACCTATCTTTTATATGAGTATTAGTAGATGTTTTTAATCTTCGGATAGAAAATAATTGTTTATTTGAACGAAAAGAAATATTATAAATAATAATTTGTCACAAAGACAATTTTCATCAATTCAATAATCAATCGTTTTTTCCTTCCAAAGACCAACACTTGATATTCAGATTATGATTCATCTAAATTATTGAACAAAACATTTGAATATAGTTACGAAGACAAAAACAAGTCTTATAAGCAAATATAAGTCAATACTTCAAAATAAAGTTGATTAAAATATCCATGAAAAGGTTACAAATCTTTTTTCTTTATTTTATTGTCGAAACTGACCAAAGAATAAGTAATGTGCACATTAGACTTAAAGTGAGATGGATGTAACGTCAATAATTCGACAACGGCAACAGCTATGGATCAGCGATTTTCAGCAATCGAAAAACGAGAATTCCGAATGTCCTTTTGTCTCATACTATATAAGACAAAATTATCTTAAAATCCACCATAAACGAAAACAGTGTTCTATTTCAATGTAATTTTGATTCTGACATATTCTTCAGCTGGGAGGACTTCAGATCTATAGTTCAAGACATGATTTAGGTGATTATCTTCTCATATCTCAATGTTGAGCAAATGGAATCGCGTATTTATTCGGTCAAATTCTATCGAATTCTGTTGGTTTTTAACAAATTTCTTGACCTTTTTTCAAAATTTCCTTGAAATAGGACAACATTCGCACACATTTTTTCAATGTTTTGCGAAGATGATGGGTTTTAAAGTAACTTTGTCATATACAGTATCCAACAAAAAATAGACTTCCAGTATTCTCCTCTTTTAATTGCTGAAAACTGTAGGTCATTAGCTATTATTATTGTCGAATTATCGAGATTACACCCACTCTTCTTTAATTCTGGCGCGCATACTAGTGAAATATCCTCAAATCGATCGTTCCAACCGTCTGCAACAACACCTTGAACTGCATGAAACGGTATGATTACTGCCATAAATGATAAAAAACGGTCACCGTCTTTCAACACCTTGGATTACGCGTCATTTTTTATCGGAACACAAACCTTGCCGCTTAAGGTCATTTCAGTCAAAAACCGATACACAGCATTAGGACCGTATTTTCATCATATACTGTCGCATTTATATCGTTTTTTTCCCCATGCAGCTTATTTCTATTGCTCGAATGGCACTTTACGTAACATTGCCCTTATAGTTTGTATTATTGTACAAAGCATTTCATTACATAGATAACAGTCCTGCATACCAATTTATCAACACAAGCTACGTCCTGAGTTGATGTATGAAAAAGGAGGCACACATAAATGTAATAATCGTGTCAATTGTACGTGAAACTACCATTAAACATTTTAGATAAAGTAATTCACTAATAAAAAAAAATCTATAATTGGAAGAATGTTTTTTTAACGAAGTAATTCGCTACAGTCGATTTTCGTCGTTTTTAAATGTTTACGAACTGTTATTTCGATATGCGATGAATAATATCTTGGGAACTTGAATAAACTTCATACTAGACATCTAGAACACAAACTAATGGGTTCTATCATCTATAGAATGTATCCTTGGGAAAAATACGCTGAACGAGCAATATACGATGATATAGACATGTACTCGATAACTCTATGCTAATATCATGCTAATCACCGTATGACAAGACATAGAAACATTTTTGTACAGCGCACATCGTATCGTCGAATAGATCTCAGTAAAATATATTTATCGATGGTAAACTAGCTTGAAAAAGCTAATTAGGTCCTGATATTTACAAAGAAAAAAAAAAAGAGTAAAGTACAGTTTCATCTTAGCAAAACATTTTCATAGAACATTAGAAATTGATCCAGCTAGAAATGATAGATGAGATCATTAAGACTTATCTACTAAACATCATGGGAAAATATGTAATGATGTTTATGAGATTTTTTTTTTCATCCCATATGAAAACAGAATAAAACCGATGATTGGAAATAACGGTCATTCCGGCTGAGATGTAAACGATGATCGTGATAGATGCTATTTATCACTGTTTTGGAGACGTTTACGGTTTTTTACGGGTTGTTCTATTCGATTTGGATCATTTTCAATAAATATCATTACATGTCCACAAACTTCAACGGAAAATCATTGTTTCATTTTTTTTCTTTCATTTCTAGTGGTGTCTTTAGACATTGTTGAACATATAAAGATTTGGTTTTTATGTTTTAATCACAGTAATTATATATTTCTAAGTTCTTATCAGTTATATAAAAGAATAAATAGAGTATCTTCTGAATACAGGACAAACAACAGTTTATCGATTAATGATAAGAAAAACAAACAAATATAAATATTATTTTCAGAAATAATCTAGAAAAAATAATGTTCATATAACAGATCCAATATAAAAAAAAATCAAATGGAGAGAAATATCACAAAAAAAAACAAATCAAGTAAAACGATTTAAACATTCATTCTTATGTTGATTTTCAAGACGAAAAACTGTCATTTGCATACCACATGTTGGACAAGTTGTTGTTTCACTATTAGTTCTTATTAGATGAGTAGCTATATTTTTACGTGTTGTTCGTTGAAATAAAACTTCTTTTATTTTAGCTTCATTTTTAGCACGTTGTTTACTTTTTTCAATTAATTCTTTACTTGCATCACTATGATGAATTAAACAAGCATTTGTATGAATTTCAAGTATATCATTTGATATAAGTCGATCACATATTGGACATTGTTCACTATCATTTATTGGTAATGATGGAAGAATAGAATTAATTTTAAATGATTTAATATTCTTTTTAGGTGATCGATTTTTTTTTGAAATAAATTCATCGATCTTTCGTTGATTACTGCTCATATCATTTACACGAATTGCTATATGTATAAATTTTAAAGTTAATTTTTAATTGAACGAAAACAAAAAATTTCGTTTTATATTGATATACCTGCTGCTCGTTTTGGTCGAATGTTACTTAATTGATCAATTTCATTTTCTTGTTCAAGTATAGATGCTTCATTTCGACGACGTTTTCGAGTTTTTTTAACTTTTAATTCTATATCATCATTTGATAGTTCATTTTCTTCATCAAGTGAAACTTGATGAGAACAACATAATAATTTTAGTTCATCATCACCTTGTTGTGTTTCATAATACATAACTATTAAAAAAAACTGTCTAAAATTGTACAAAAGAATTAAACTGTAGAAAAAGAAAAATAATTATTCTATAAGTGTTAAATAAAAAATAGGAAATTTGTTGTATATTGCAAATACACAATTGAATCTATTTAGCTTAACTATTGGAAAAACCCTAATTGTCTTTAATCTATTGCATGTTGAAAACTGTTTATATTTGATTGATGAAGTATTATAATCAATTATTATTAAAGATAATATTTTCTGTGGTTTCAATCATAATTAATATTATGAAAACTCTTTTAAAAATATGTAATACACTGTTTTTTTTTTAACCTGTTAACTAGACAGGTAACTAAATTAAAATATAAGAATCACGAATCGTGTGCACCATTGTTCATTTCAGTGAAACACTTACTGAATGATGGCGCTAGTTGCTGGTCAAATTAGCATTAATTTAGAATAAAGATGTTTCAGTTTACATCAGTTTTATAGCATCATACAAACTTTTATAGACTTATAATATGATTCACAATCTGATAGATCAATGAAAATCTTTTTTTTTCTGCGATGATAATAATAGTCTTTAGGAGAGTTTGAGCTTTCCTATTACCTTGGGTTGTCATTATGAATAAATATCATATGCAATTTTGATTGATGATGACTCTTTTAAAAGCAATAAGCTCTATTCATAATTGGCTTGTTGATCACGATCAAGCATCGCATCTAAATGAACATCTTGCATATTGTTGACTTAAAAATGCAAACTCATCGAAAAATTATCCATAGCTTGGTCAGTTGACCGTATTGTCGTCACTAAGAATTCTTAATTATTCTTTATCATTTCTTCCATTTATTATCGTTTATTTTCTCACTTACTTATCTTGTATTTTAGTTCAACATGCCAATTATCATTTCATTTTTGGCCTATTCAGTATTCATGCATAAATGAATAACTACTTCCTCTTAATAATAATTCTATTTATTGATTCGGACATAATTGATAGATTTTGCTTTTTAAATGATTGAACTCATATGACATCATCGAAAAAGGAAAATGAAAGATCAAGTATACTTGTTTACCAAAAAATAGAACAAATTGATTTATACTTGAGATCACAACAGTATATATAATATTGCTTTAATCAATAGATAAAAATATACTAAAAATAAGGACTAAACTTTCAAAGTTCTCAAAAAAATGCTTTTATAATTTGATTCTATTTAATTTGATCAATAATAATGCACTTAGATTTGCTGATCAAATTAAATAATAAATACATCGCATCAAAGTTTTATTTAAATCTGATATATATTCATAACATGATTTCATAAAAAAAGATTCTTATTCTTATTGTTTTGTTGAAACTATCTAATTACTTATATTAACATCAATCATTTTTTATACAGAACAATTGTATATAATCCAAAATAAGTTCGTGTTAATATATCTATCCGTTGTTGACGATTGATTTTATTATTTTTCTTCAAGTAAAGCAACTTGATTACAACGATATTCATTCTTTTTATTGATCTGTCATCATGTGCTGCGATATGTTTAGTTTGAATAGAATACTATAATAGTCATTTTGTTTAGTTTTATAATACATGATTATTAAAAATATCTACAAATGTGACAAAGGAATTAAATATTAGAAATAAAATAATCCTTGCACGAAAAAAAAAATAAAAAGATTTCTTTTTGTTAAATTTGAAAAAATTTCAGCATATTTGGTTTGACCACTTTAAGAATTAACTGACTATAACCATTGCTTGTTATCATGCAAGCATTTACTGGACACTCAGAATTTGAAAATTGTTTACATTCAGTTGATGAAGTATTTTGATCAAATGTAATTAAATAAATATTTTCTGTTGTTGCATCCATAATTATCAATTGTTGATCGGAAATAAAGGAAAAAATAAGATTCCAATCTATTGTTGATGCATTCATAAGCATATTGGTTTGATGCAAATAATTCATATTATGATCAAATAAAGCAATTCGCCAACGACATTCATCATCTTCCTAAAAGAAGTTTATAAATAATTCTATATTCTTAATTGAATCACAATAATTTAACTTCTTATATTTTCTTTAATATATATTTTAAACTTAAATAATTTGAAACTCATCATTTAAAGTAAATCACGTCGAAATAGAAGGTCACTCACAGAAAAAACTTCACAAAGTGTAATAGAGGATCATGAGTTTTTCGAAATCTGTTTTTGCAAATTCAGCAAGCCGTTGCGAATCTTAGTACTCAAAAGCCTAGTTTTTCGGCACTTACAAGAGAATATATCCAACTGTTGGATGCTATTCGACTTCGCATTGAGGCTATTAGTAGACTTCAGTGAGACTAAGAAAAGCTTAAAAGGGTTCGGGCCCATGACCTACTATTGAAGACTTATGGTCGTTTTAATGAAATTTGCACTGAGGATAAGTCATTTCCGAAAAACCCAAAACAAAGAGTTTCCAGATGAAATTATGTCCAAAGGTATATTTGATAGTCATTAGATAACCTGAAAGTTTCAACAAAAGTGAATATGTCTTTCTCGAGATATTCAACTTCCAAGTAGACTCGATTACTGTATCCTCTGATAGCAAATCGCTGTATTATTAAATATTGAATATCACTTGAAAGACATGCTTGTTTTCGTTAAAACTTTCCGGACTGTCTAATGACTATCAAGTGTACCTATGGGCATAATTTCAGCTTGAAACTCTTTGTTTGAATTTTTTGAAAATCCCTTGTTCTTAGTAAAAATTCCATTAAAACGGCCATAATTTGTCCATAATAGGTCATGGGCTCGAATTCTTTTAAACTTTTCTTAGTCTCACCAAGACCTACTCGTAGCCATAATGTGAAGACAAACGACGTCCTACAGTTGAATATGTTTCCGCATTAATTGCTAAAAACGTTTATTTGAATATCAAAAACGTTTTTCAAAAATTTTTGATTTCCTAGGTGAATGTCAGCAAAAAAACTAGCCCATAATAGAAGATCACTGTTGAAAGAGTGATGTGCATTTTTATAATAGAAGACTGGCTTTTTATTCTGAATGGGGAGAGGAGGGGGAAGGAATTATACATAATTAAGAAAAAACGTTTGAATTAGAATCGGTTTCTTTTTCTCGAAAAAACTTAAGAAGAACTTTAGACTTTTGTAAACAGATAATTGATTTTTCAATTGTTCGTATTCAAAATGTCATTCTTTTGTTTTTTGCTTGAATAACTTACAATTAAAATAGCTAATTGATTTTGACTAGGATTTGCTCTAATACATCTCAAATGTTGATCATGTTCACACTCTGATATAATTTCATTTAATTTCCATTGTTTTATCAATTGAATAGATGGTGATGTTTCTTGAAATGTCCATTGTTCAATCATTGTAGAATATTTATACAAAATATAAATTGAATTCAATAATGTTGTACATGACCATGGAAGAGATGTAAAACGATGTAGACAAATAAATGATGATAAACGATTAAATGAAAATAATTTTTCATCAGTTAAAATAAAAAATAATTTTAAATAAAAACTATAATGTATATCAAGTATTTTTCCATCAAGATTATTTTTCCATTCAACTAATTCCGGTATTAAAGTATCATCAAAACTATTTGTTAAATTAAATAAAAGAATATGTTCACGATCATTTATAACAAGTAAATCTTCGCTTGCTGCCATTTCATTATAAAATGATCGTTGTATGGGTAATTCATATTGTCGACAAGGTGAATCAAGATTTGATAAATGAAAAAGATTTGAAGATTGATTTTGTTCCATAGGAACTGAATCGATTATACTATTGATTAATAACTATTAACATAAAATAAATTAACGGATAATCGGAAAGATTTTAGACAAGATGTTTGTTCACTTTTGACTCACTGGAAAGTATTTTCGACGAATTGAGACCAGAATTTTGTGCTGTTTTCAAATATGAGCTTAGAAATTTTGTCTCAATTTTTGTTCGAGAATAGTGGGGGACTTATTGAAAGGTCTGAAAAATTATTTTTAATGATGAGCCAACAGGTTTTTGTTTATCTTATAGATCCCTTTTCGAACATGCTAAAAATTATTGGAGTCGATCGTTTCGTACAGCAGACATTTCTCTACCGAATGTGATATTGAACTAAACAGGTAGCTATTACCCAAGTGAGGCTAAAAGCATTTTTTCAAGAGCTTCTTTCATCATAAAACGGTTGTCGATTTTTCAAAAATGAGTATTTAGGATAAACGAAAATTTAGGTGCCTTGCCGAAAGACAATAAAAAAACTTCAAATCGTGCATTTTTTTGGATAGCTTCTGATTTACAAGCTGATATATGAATAATGATTCCAGTTGTTAGTTTCAAATCTCGATAATGAAAATATAAAAATTTTTCGTCCAAACTAATTTTTCTGGCTTCTCAAAGATCATTTCATTACTTTTGAACAAAAATTGAAACAAAACTCATAAGCCAATAGTTGAAAAGAGCACAAAATTCTGTTTCTAACTCATTCGAAATACTTTCTAGGGAGTCAAAAATGAGCAAGCATCTTATCTAAAAACTTTTCGATCATCAGTTATAATAAAATTTTACAAAAGTAAATTTTCTTTGTTTTTTTACCTTTTTATTTTCATCGAATTTTAAAAAACATTCTTGAATTTTTTTAATTTGAATTAAACTAACACATTGATTTTGTTGGAAAATAATTCGAATTGGTTGAAATAATTGTTTTAATTCAATTATTATTTTATTTAAATTCATTAATTTTTCAATACTTAATTGTTGAATAAAAGAAATTTTCTTTTTATATTTTATTTCTATTTGTTCAATTAATATTTGTTTTATTTTATCTGGATTTTCTATTAATTGATTTAATTCATCAATACGTTCATTTAATTCATTTATTAATCGATCACGTTCATTTATTAATAATATTCGATGTATTTCAACATGTATATAACATAAATAAAGATTACAATGTATACATATAACTGAATAATATTCTTTACAATGTTCTCCTGTTATTTTATCAATATGTTGACAAAATTCATTTATAATTGATGATGTTGTTCTTGATTCAATTATGATAATATCATCATCATCATTATCTCTATTACCGTTGTCTTTTTTGAATCTTTTTGATAGATTCATCTGAAAAAGAAAAAATTTCTTTTGTTTTTTTTTTATTATTCAATACTAATATTTACAAACACAAAAAAGGAAATGTTTTCATTTTTTTTTAAAAATTATTATCGATTATCTCGTTGCCAAATAATAACAAGTCCTTGCTGATCACATGATGCTAATAAATTTTCATCAGCATTAAATGAAACATCAAATACAGCTGAACAATGTCCTTGTAATTTATTGATTAATGTACGAACTTCTCGATCAACATCATAAAGATAAACTGAGAAGAAAAAACAGATTTTTTTCAATATTAATGTATCATTGAAAAATGTCCTTCCTTACCACACATATCTTCACTTGCACTAACAACACAAAAACCTTGACGCTGAGAAACAATTGGACAAAATGAACTATGAATTGTTAATGATTTTTGACGTATTGAAAAACGTTTTCGAACAACTAATTTTCCATTTGTATTAACAACTCTATAAATAGTAGAAAATAAATATCATACAAAAAAAAAACAATAATTATATGAAAGATTAATTTAAATTAGATTTTCTATTTTAGATAATATCTCAATATTTTAGAAGACAACGAACAAAAACTTGTTTCGAAATTTATTAATGATCGATTGAATACATTTCTAATATTGAATCTTATTAAAATTTGATTACATATTGTGTTCCTTTCAGCAGAAATAAAGCTCGATTTTGAACATAACAAAATCAAATTAAATTACACAATTCAAAAACAAATCTTCAGTATAAGAAACTCTCACGGAAGCGGAAGAAGAAAATATTATAAACTTTGCACTATAGAGTATATTGACGTCATTTTATAATACACACTCTAAAAGGAGTGTTAAAATATAGAGGTAGACATTTAGATCCTCTATCTACAAACGTGACAGGCACACCCATAGATACGTCCTAGGTCGTGACAGACGTTGTTGATAGCGATCATACACCTTATATATCTATAAGGTTTCGTTCTAATATATAAACTACTTCCTTGTTGCATTTTTTTCTCGAGGATTAAATAAAAGGATAGTGAAGAAATGTGTTCCAAAATAAATAGAATAAATTAATCTCTCTGTGATTAGCAAGAATAGCTACGTCGCGTTTCATATTTTAACTTCGCAGGAATCGAGCAAACAGCTTTTCTATTTTGTGCTAAATCATTTTTATAGTACAACACCTAAAGTATCTTTGAAATGGACTTAAGGGAGGATGTTGAACAATTTTAAATATGTTTATGGCTTGATAAGAGTCTTATACATGTTCATACCCACAATTGCCAGCGACTGAAATTTTTCAATTAAGATTTGATACTCTCCACGATGGATTTCTACAGAAAGAAATCAACACAAAAAAAACTATTATTCGATTTATCATTGTTAGTTAGAAAGAAAATAAAACAAGTTTCTTATATAATTAATTGTCTGTTGTCTTTTTTTTTTTTGTATATAAAATTAATAAAACATAGTATTCATCATCTATCACAAGAAATAGATTCGTAATTTTCACATTATTTATCAAGACCTTTGAAATTGAATTAATTAAAAAGAAAATGTTTGTGTAAATACTATAATAGTTTGATTAATCTTTCATCTAAAATAAAGCAAAATCATTAATTAGATAAAAACTTACTTAAATACGAGTAATAAATTAGGTATGACATTAGCCAAAATAAATCCTTCACGTCCATCACGTGAAGAACGATATCGAAACGAAAGACTTGTCACTGAACCATTACTATTTGAGAAGACCCTAGCATATAACAAAAAAAAAAAGATAAGAATCGACATTAAAAAAAAATTGTTAATTTCACAAATATACCGTTTACAACTATGTAATTTTCCTGTTGTCATATCAAATAAAGCAGCAAATATATTTCCACGATCATCACCTGTCCATAAAATCGAACCTGTTTCATCAAATGCAACACACATTGAACGACCATAACATTTAATTACACAATTCTAATAATAAAATATTTTTATTTTTCCTATTCAAATTAAAAATATACCTTAAGTGCTTTGCCAGTTGATACATTAAATATTTGCAATATTCCTCGATTATTTCCAACCGCAATAAAATTATTATTTGATGGATGAAAACAACAACACAGATTTTCAATACCAGGTGTACTTTCAATAACACGCATACATTTTCCATTTGAAATTTGCCATATACGTATACTTGAATCACTACTAGCTGTTACTAATAAATCATTTATTGATGACCATTGCATATCTATTAGAATTCAAAATATTTATAGTCATTTTAATAGATACACGAAAAAAAAACAAAAAACGAACCATTTATTGCAGCTGTATGACCTTTTAATCGATAGATAATTGTTGCTGGTGTTGGAAGAACTTGACATATAGCAAGAATTCCATCACGACCACATGTTGCTAATAGACTTCGATCATTAGGTGCAAATTGAACTCTTGTAACTAAATACAAAAAAAAACAACAATTCAAATGGATGAATCGAAATTTTCATAATAAAAATTTAAATTATACCTGAACCTTTATGATGATCAAATATATGATGTACACCAGAAAATGCATAAGCTTCTTCTAAAGATCTTCCCATTGCTAACGCTCTATGAATTAAAAATAAAGAGAAAATTGGTTTTTTTTTAAATAATTTATTTTAAAAATATTGGTCCTTTTTTTGCCTCTTTTTTGTTCTAACCTGCTAGTTGTTGAAACATTTGAAAGAGATGATGCTGAAAATGGAGTCATGTGTGTTTCTGGAATATCATCAATTAACATATTATTTGTTGTTATCGTCGTATTTCTTCTTGTCCAATCAGCAAATGAATCAGCACTCTATAAAAACAAAAAAAAAAGAATTTTTATTCTAATAAAAATAAAATACTTATATTTACTTCAGATATTGAATTCATTCGACTAGCATGACTACCATTTGATCTGAATTGAAATTTTTCATTAAAGAATTCAAACATATTTTTACTTATTCATTACCTGCTATCAAATAGATTTGCTCCATATCTTGATGCTAGTAGAACTGATCGTAGTTTCAAGTAATGTTTTCGAATATTTACATCATTCTATATATAATATGAGTATATAAATATAAAATCAACTAAAATAAATCTTACTTACTTCAACTGGATGGTTATCACGTAATAATTGACTTCGTCTTCGAATGTAAAGTGTTTCTAAATACGAAACAAAAAAAAAATATTATTACTGATAAAATGATTACATACTAAATTGCAGGTTATTTGGCGTTCGATGAGCATTATACCGAGCATCAAGTGCAAGTAAAACTTGCCATGTAGTCGACATTCAATGGAATGTTGAAAACAAACGAATGATTATCTTAAAATTTAATAAAATCATGTTTAATATACAAAAAAAAAAAATTAGAATATAGAAAAAAAGACTAATAAAATATGTATTTTAGTATTCTTTCCTATCATCATTCAAATTTATTCTCGACGACAATTGGTGTAGAAGTTTGTAAACCAGTAACAAGACACATTAATTCTCGATAGATTTGAAGAGTATTTTGATTTTGATTTTGATTTTGTTTTGATAATGATTGTTTAAATTGCATTATCATTTGTTCATGACAATTTAATTCAATCCATCGACATTCATTTTCAAATTGTTTAAATCGTACTTCTGTAAATGCAATTAATTGACTATCATCAGTATATCGAACAATATTACGATTTAAAGGACTAATTTTTGATTTATTCAACCATTCTAAAACAAAAAATAAACTAAATTGAAAGAATTTTTCAAATGGAAAGAATACTACCTTCGATATTTGTATTGATATTTGAAGGACAATAATCATGTTTCTAAAATGAGCAGGACATAAAAAAAAAGAATAAGATAAGAAAATTCTTTACAGCAACAAGAATATTAATGTTCGAAGTAAAGAAGCGATGATATTGATTAACAAGGTATTTCAATGTATTCAAACGTTTAACTGTGCCTTCAGGATTATCAAAAGTTGCTACAAAAATATATGAAATATATTCAACTAAATAGTTTTGTTTTGAAATCAACATACAATTTTCAAGAAGATAAAGTACAATAGTACGAAGTTTGACGGCTAACTGAAGTAATACTTCAATATTTGGTATATGTATCTCATCCGTAATTGTTGGTGAATGAATCTGAAAAAACAAGCAAAAGTATTTTATAAAGAAAATATGTTTATTTATATGATATTACTTTTTCATTTAAACGATCAATAAATACAGGTGATGATGATGATGTTGTTGATCTTTTTTTAAGTTCAATCTCTAATCGTAAACGAAGATTCTGATTTTGCTTCCATAAACGACGTAACGGTTTAATTAGTGCTTGATTAAGAATAATTGGTTGTGGAACAGACAATACGTCTATCTCACTTGTTTCGTTAGAAACCTTTTTAGATTTATCTGTTGTTATCATAACAGATGTTTGCTCTGGAATTATAGTTTCATCATTCATATCATTGTTGCTTTGACCATTGATTATTGAATTCTTCTCATTTTCCACCGGAAGAATTGCTGGTATTGGTGTTATTTGTTGAGGAAGTTCAACGATCGAATGTGCAATAGAAGATGACGATTGTCGTCGTTGTTGACTGATAGAACGAGGTGTTGCGCTTGGCTTTTTACTTGAATTAGTTTGAGCACTGGTACGAATCGATGAAGTAGGTCGTCGTTTTTTTTCCGGTTGAGTTAAAAATGGTGCTTTCATATGAGCAGGTACATAACGACGAATTGGTTGTTGTTGCTGAGACAAGGACGAGTCTGATGATGGTGCAATAGTTGAACTTGCTGAAGACGGACGTACAGATGAAGATGTCTTTGAACGATTATTTTGAACAGTACTTGATTGAGTTGATGTCGGAGCTGTTGCTATTCTATGTGATAATTGTTTTGGCTTCTTTTCATCAATATTCTATTGAACAGAAAAAATAAAAACAAAAGAACAGTATAGAATAGAACATATATATTTGCCTACCTTAACTTACTTCAATTGTACGTTTTGCTTTGTCAATAATACTAGCAGCTAGACTTATTTCTTCACTTTCTAAATTATAATAGATATTAAAGAAATCTATGATAGATAAATTGTATTGTACCAATTGATGGTTGAGGAGGAGGAGGAAGTGAAGGAGAAGTTTTTGATTTATTTATTGTTGATCGTTTGAATGAATCATAAATAAATTGTGGTAAACGTTTTCTAAAAATTTTCTCACTTAAATACGTGTAAAAGTGTGAATTGATTCAACATACTGTTTTTGAAGAATTTGTCGAAGATCATTGTTAACTAAATTTAGAATATAAATAGATTGATCGAGAACATGAAGGCGTTCAAGCATAATAAGATAAGGATTATCAATCTTGTCCATAATTGATTCTGAAAAAACTTATTAATATCAATCTCATCATTCAATTGTCAACTAATGCTATCGATGACGATTCGTGTTTTGCATTGTACCAGTCCATGTTTTTTATTTGAAAGATGGCGGTATTAGCTGATTCTTTCAATAATATCATTATGAAAAAATAGTTTCCAATATATTATGGATATTTATCATCATTGAAAAAATATTTTTCAACGTGCAATCGATTCATTTAAATAGCAAGAAAAAAACAATCATGAATATACGTTTGCAACAATAACATGATTATTTTTTATATGAATTGATGCTTATGAAATTTTAGTATCTTCTAAAGGAAATACAGGTATCGAAGATGTTCACTTTCGTTTTGACTCATTCATAGATCATTCGATAGAGTATATTGAGATTTAAAAAAGCCATGAAAGGATTCGAGTTCATGATGTATTACTGAGAAAACGATGCTGTTTTATTGGAACTTTTACTGAGAGCCAGACATTAGAAGAAAATCAAAATGAAGAACTTTTACCTGGAATTTTGTCTACAGATAGATTTCATAGTTATTGGATAAGCCTAAAGGTTTCAACAAAAACGAAGGTATTTGTGTAGACATATTTGATTTCCGAGTAGAATAGATCAGTGTGTCCTCCTGCGAAAAGGGGCTGTTTTTTTTACATTCGTTATCCCAAGAAGGATAATGTTTATTTTCGTTGAAACTTGCAGGAATATCTAAAGACTATTAAATCTATCTATAGGCACAATTTTAAGTCGAAACTCTTCATTTTGGTCTTATCGGATTACCTAACTCTCTGTGAAAATTCCAGTAAAGTAGACGTAACTTATCATCAGTACGCCATGAGTTTCAATTCTTGTAAGCTTTTTCTTATCTCAATATATTCTATCGAATGATGTATGATTGAGACAAAACAGAAATGCACATCTCAAGTATTTCTCTTCTTAGTGTGAAATATCATTTGTGTGATTGTTATTGCCCCAGAGATTATTGATGTACAACAGAAGTTGAAATTGATGATATTTATTAAAAAGATTAAGAAAATAATGTGACGCTATTTTTTTCATAAAGGTAAAATTAGAGTAAATAGATATAGAATAAAAAGTTCAAGTATATAGTTGGATTGTCTTATTATTTAAATGAATCGCCATCAATAGTAAAGTTGTCTTCCTCAATAATTTGGTTAGTAACCAAAATTGTATCCTGAACAGTGTCCATGATGGTGTTGTGGATAGTGATGATGGCCATGTCCATAGCCATAAGAAGGATAAGCATATTGAGGCGTGTAGTAAGCATTAGGCCAATAGCCTGCATATGGTTGTTGACGTCGACCTGATCGGTTACCCATTTGTGTGTTTTGTACGTAGAAAGCTTGATATTGTGTTTGTTTTCGAATGAAAGAAGCACTTGTAAAACGTAATTACTTTTATATGTGAGCGAAAAAGATAACGTAGTGCGCTCGTATATTCTAGGTAAACACAAATTAGTAATAGTATAGGTTTCGATCTGCATGAGTGAATTTAGATATTCATTGACCAGATTACTGACAATATTTTAATAATTATTAAGAAACGATTTTAACATTAATTACACACTATGTCATTATTTTGCTGATGTCCTTCACACAAATGATTATTTTTCACTTGAATCAAAACAATTTTCAAAAACAATATGACTAGGTTTTTATGATTAGTTGTGTGATCGTATTATTTCTTTAGTTTCTAGACCATCCGATGCCAAGAGAACTCTTTTAACAGATCTATTGTCATCCGTAGAATTACAGAATCTGTATTCAAATTAAGCAATCCAATCTTCATTTTTTATTATAGATGATCGTTTAAACACATGATTATTTCATTTGGGTAATCAAAATCAAAGACATAATATATATATATATGTATATATGTTTTGAGTTCTTTATATAACTCGAGAATACACCATTACGCATTTGAAAAAGTAAAGGAAGTTTTTTTTTTCGATACTCAATAAAGCTCGAACAAGAAACATTGTCTATCAAAAGTGTATATTACTTATCATATGATATGAATGTTTATTTCGATGACCATTCCAGAAACCTTCTAAACCATTTATTCATTAATTCATCTGATAACTGTTCATTAAACAAAAATCTGTTGCTCAATATACTTATTTATTTTGTTTTTTCAACTGTCTATATGAATCTTTCTTATCGGTCGTTGTTTTATCTCTTACCATCAGCATAATCAATAAAATGAATCAATATGTATTTCTTTTTTACTTCTACTCCATTTATTTTTGTTGATATAGAAGGGATGACAAACACATAAACTGGTCGTCAAAATGATCGAAGCATTAGATTATTTTATTTTGTGTATATGTCAAAAATTAGATGAGCTAGAATGACCTGGTTTTCATTAGATTACAGCTCACAATCTTTAGTATAGCAGTGAGAAGATTTCAGGTCAATTCATTCATCTGTCTAAGTTCTTCAATTGCATTCAATACATTCACAATTGACTAACTATCAACAAATTTCGCATCATCTATTTCGAGATTAATCCGTTCATCCATATCTTTTCATGTAATTCCTTCAGGTATATTGTTGTTTCGGCACGTTACGATCACAAGAGATAAAGATATCGTATAATTTTTTCTCATTCAGACTGCTCTGGACAAATTACACAACGGAAAAATTCTATGCAGAAAAGCAGATATCACTTGTAGTGAGTAGGTGATCGAATGACCACAATGTTTCTCATTCATGATGATTTCAAAAATCATTGCAAAATTTTTGTGATTTTAATATTACTTCTATCTCTGTAACAATAATGAGCACAAAGCTGAAATTCTAACACACAATTGATCCAGACACCTAGTGTACGTACTGTGAATATTAGCCTCGATCAATACAAAAACGTGTGAGAACATAATATTACATAAAAGGCTCAAAACTTATTTTACATTCTTTATTTCAATATTTCTATACTTTATCTTGTCTGTACTTGTTCCTCAATGAATCCAAACAAAAGGAAAGACCTTATTAATAAAATATGTTCATTCAAATAACATTACTTTTGAATTCAAACGATTAATAAATACAGGCAATAATAATAATGTTGATTTTTTATTAAATTCAAGTCCTAATCGTAAACGAGTATTTTAATTTGTTTCCTTCAATGATTTCATGGATTTAATTAGTGCTTGATTGATTACAATTGATTATGGAACAGGCAATATGTCTCTATCACATGTTTCATTAGAAATACTTGTACAGTACACTATAGTTACTATAACAGATATTTGTTCTAGAACTATAGTTTCATTATTCACATCATTATTATTTCCATTATTGATTGTTGAACTTTTCCTCATTTTGATCTGAAGGAATTGACAAAATTGGTTTTATTTGTTGAAAAAGTTCAACGATTGAGTTTGTAGTTGAAAATGAGGATTGTTGCCACTGTTGACTGGTAGAACCAAGCGTTGTGCATGGATTTTTATTTGAATTACTTTGAGTACCAGTACGAATGGATGAGCCAGGTTGTGGTTTTTTTCTTCTGGCTGACGAGGGAACATTCCCAGGTGTTGGAGCGCTTTTGAGTCGGGACTTAGTGCATCTTATAGACCTTAGTGAATTATGTTTATGGT